CTTTGGAATAAAAGTTATTTTTACAAAAGCGGTCCTGACTGAAATACAGTAGTGAGGGGAGGATAATGAGAAACAGGGTAGAGCACACAATCAAAACTTGCAGGAAACGCACAAAGGCAGGAAGTGACCACTAAGGAAGATCTAGTACTTACTTAGGTGGTAGTTGTGGTCCTTGTGGTAAACAATGAGGATGTAATAGTCCTTTTTGTGGTTCTAAGGAAGTACTAGAGGTCATTTAGGTGGTTGTGGTCACTATGGAGGTACCAGGGATCACCAAGGTGGTCCTTGCGGCCCTTTAGGTGAGTCTAATAGTCATTAGTTTTGTTGATTCTTCATACTACTTTCACCTTTGCTTCCAATAGACGTTGATTTGTAATAGCAATACCACTAGAGGGAGCTGAATGTTTTTTAGTGAGGAGAGTGTCAAAGTAAAATGACTCACTTTATTTGGTTTGCAGATCTGCACCAGTGTGTGTTTGGGGTGTGGGATGCTTGGCCACATATAGGTAAATATTCTGTTAAGGAAAGAGAAAATAAATATTAATCTATGAAACATAGATCTAAATTCACTTTTCTGACAAGAAAGAAGAGATGTCGTACTTGTTTTTCCAGAAGAAAACAACACTGAAAGTCAGCACAACAACAAGGACAAGACACACAATCAGTGTGTACGTCTCCTGCCTTTCATCTGTCTCTTTTTGGACTTTTTCCCCTGAAAAAAGAGAGAGGACCAAGTTAAATAAAGTCATTATTCTTGTCTGTCGTTTGAAGAAGCAAAATGTGTACAAGCTGACTAGCTCCTACCAGCGGGTGTAAAGAAACTGAATGTTTCACTCCAGTCACTCCAGGTACCCGCCAGGAACAACTGCGGTATCGCTCGTACTTTAACATGATACTCTGTGTTCTGTTGGAGGTGCTCCATGTCAATCCTCATCTCTAATGATGAGATGTTTTGAATCTGTGGTAAAACCGGAAAAACAGTCAATAATATCATTGTGGTACGGAAGTGTATTGCATTCACTTAAGAAAATTTACTCTGAATGAGTTATTATCTCACAATGCTGAGATAGGTTTTTCTATTTCATTAGAATAGAAGAGTAACAGGAGCTCACAGCTGAGTATTTTATTTTATGAAAACTCATCTCAGAATTATAAGATAACAACTCGTTAACAAATATTTTTTCTCAAGTGAATGCGTTACACTCCCATATAGCTGAGCATTGTCAAAGATAGAAATAATATCTGAAGCAACACAAATCAGATAATGTTACCATTGTGCTGCCTGCAGTCCAGATGTGCAGCTGGAAGAGTTGATTTTCTTTTTTCAGGAATTCTCTGTAGTACGGAGTCCGAATATAAATGACAGCCTGGTTAGACTCCTGGTTGAAAGTAACGTTCCACACCTGAGGACTTCTTGGTTTAACTGCAGGGATACAACAAAGAACCAAAAGACAACAGTTAAGGTGACAGTAACAGGTCATTTATATGCTTTTACACCTGTAGTTTGGTTCACTTGGACCACACTAAAGGAGAAAAGTATGCTTAAACATGTTTTAAACTGGTTATTAAAAAATCTCAATTTAATATTGATGCCTCTACTGAATACTGAACTCTTTATTCTCATCAGGAGGCAAACCATCAGTGAATGGCAGGTGGCAGAGTTCTAATATGAAGGGTCTGGAAGATGTTAATCAGTGATAGGGAAATAGTTTCCTATAGTAATCAGTAGTATGAAACTGAAAGTGACAGTATAACCTAAATGATGCTTCCTACTGTCCTTACCAAATGTACTACATAATTCAATCCAATTTTGGATTTATAGGAAACATCTGAATTAAAATAAAGTAAATAAATACTGATGCCTCTATTTGACCAAAATGAAGAAACAAAACATTCACAAGAATGGGACAGATGGACAGACAACCTGAAAATATAATGCCTACGGCCACAGCTGTCATTGGTGCAGAGGCCTAAAAATTAAAAAGAGGGCAGGGAAACTGGCTCATATTTAGATTAAAAGTAGCATAGATGATGCATGAGCCGAGTCATTTAATATTGATTATCTGCAAGTCCTGATCTGGTACTTAGTTAATAAGTAAAGTACATTAAAGTTATTAAAATCAATTCAGTGTATATGATTGACAAGTTTTGCAGTGCATCAAGAAAAAAATGCTGTTCCTTAACTTATTTTTTTTTTTTTTTTACACAATATATGATAAAATAGTGTTTATTTTAATTAATGAATTACTAATTGGCTTTTTATTTGCTTTTCCTGCACTTGCAGTTGCATGTTGAGTGTGATTGTGTCGGCTCTCTACCGCTCTCTCTTCCTGCTCTTGCTCTCACACTGACACAGAGCTCAGACTGGAGGAAAGAAACTGCGGAGAGAGCTGACAATGGAAGTATCCTGCATGAAAGCTTTGTGAGTAAAACAGCTGTGTGACAGTTGGCATGAAACAAAAGATCGTTTGTTAATAAAATGGCCAGTTTTGTCCAATTATCTTTGGTGTCATTTCAGTAGTAGTTGGAATTGGCTTCAAAGCAGAGTTACTGTTTCATTTAACTGAGCAAAAGAAACTCAGCAGCCCCGTCTGGAAAAACATCTTTCTACCCTGTATTATTGTGCTTATATTCCACTGCTAGATATGCAAATGTGGATTTAATTGCTGACTCAGGAAACATTGTGAGGTTTGGAAAAAATATCACTGGGGAATGTTCAACGTGACTCTGAACACTTTCCTCTGCAGTCAGGATTTACCTATTTTCTTCAGGTCGATCATTGCTGTAACCTTGCCTCCTCTCTTTAAGTGGGCCGTCACATTGAAATGATTCACAGGATTCAGATTTTGGGAGCTGACTGTGTCCCCAGAATCCTCCACACACTTTGTTTTCTTATCTGATTCACTCCAGTCAGTGTAACTGTAAATAGAGAAACAGATTTCTCTCGTTGATTGAACTTCCTCTGAACACCGTTAATGTGCTATCTAGGAGCAGATGATGAAATGTTTTTTACCACACTGTCATCTTTTCTATGTCATCTGCCTCATTATCTTCATCATCCTCATTGTAGTTCCTGACGACTCCGACCAGTTTACAGGTCAGACTGCTTTGCTTTGTCATGATGTCAGAGGTGCAGCTGAGTCTGGGCTCTGAGGAGAAACACAAAAAACAGTTTCTATTAATCCTGAGGAAATCAATCCATCCATTGTTTCCTGCTCATCAGGGACCTGGTCGTGGTGGCAGTAGGATCAGTAAAGTGGTCTAGAAGACAACATTTCTAGCTCCTCCTGGAGGATCCCCAGGTGAACCCCTCCAGCGTGTTCAAGGTCTACCTCAGGATCTACTTGACTTCCAAAAACTTCCAGATGAATACCACAAATAAAATAATATTTCCCAGCCTTATACATATGGGCTTAGTAGGTCAGAGATTTACCTTGGAGCTAGTCCATTTAATGTTTTGAACTGTATTGTGCAAGCAATGGGAAGCCAATGACAGGACGTTGAAACCAAAATTGTGTTTTGATTTCCAGTTAAAAACCAAGCAGCTGCGCAGAATATAGAGATACAATAATCCAGAAGGGTGGAAATAAAGGTATGAAGAACTTCCTTCTGGTCAACACCTAACTAATTGATTTCCTTGCTGATGCTAAAACAAGACTGAATAACTGCATGTTCTTGGTTTTCAAAGTTCAGTTTTTCTTTAAGAAATCACTCCAACATTTCTGACAGAAGGCTTTATCTGGTCATTCATTTCAATTTCTGTCAGACTGAATGCGGCAAATGTAATTCTCATTCTCATTAAGCTACAAGACATCCAACACTTAAAGGACCAGTGTGTAGGATTTAGTGGCATCCAGTGATGAGGTTTGCCCTCGCCCTCACCACACCCGCATAGGAGTAAGCATAGGAGAAACAACGCCTTAAAACTGGGCAAAAAGGACCTGTATCTGGAAAGACGCAATGGTATACACATTTATGGATCTGTATATATCATATCATATAAAAGTCAGTCGAAGATCAAGGCTGTAATATTCATACAGTCTGTATACACACATATCACCACCTTGAATAGAACTGTATTTTTGCGCATTTATTCCACTGCAGAAAAAAAGTAAATGTCTCTATCTAGATTCAGTGTTTGGTTTGTCTGTTCTGGGCAACTGTAGAAACATGGCGGACTCCACCAGAAGAGGACCCACTTCCCCCTGTAGAAAAAAACATCTCATTCTAAGGTAAAAACACACAACAAGTCATATTTTCAGCTGATTATACACTAATGAAAACATACCTCTGAATATTATATTAAATCTCTGACAATTATTCTGATCCTCCTAAATGTTACACACTGGACCTTTAATATCATCTAAGCAGTCCTTTAAGGGCAACCAGGCTGGAAGAATCAGTAGGGTTGACAGGAAGATATGATAAAGTATCATCTGCATAAAAATTAAACCTCTCTACAAATTACATGACCAAAGGTAAGCATGTAAATTAAGAGAAGAGTAGGGCCCAGAATTAAGCCTGGAGGTACACCGGAACAAAGTTTTGTGGATGAAGTTCAACAGGAAAATTTCTGTTAGAAACTTTTCCTCTAGCACCTCTAGTGTCTCAACCAAGGCTGCAAATAACTATTATTTTTATTATCCATTAATCCGTCAGTTATTTTTTTTACCATTAATTGACTGTGTCCAAAATCCAAGGTGATTCAGTTTAAAATCATTAAAAAAAAAACAATCAGAAGTAGGAAATAGTGAATGTTTGACATTTTTCCTCAAAAAGATACTTAAATTATTCATCAATTATTGTCGATTCATTTCCTGTCACTTGACTAATACTGTAGTTTCAGGACTGGTTTCATGGATTATCATGCAGTTTGGTTCAGATATTCAAGGTGTTTATGAACTTTGATGATCTCTTAACTCTATCACCACCATCAGGTCAACATTCCCATCAGCCTCCGCTCTACGCTAACTGATGATTAGCACTGATGAGATCAATGATAATGTTTTAACTGTAGAGAAACTACAATCTGTGCCAGAAAGGTGAAAAAATACTTGATGCCTAAAAGCTCAAAAGAAAAAAAGACTGTCTCAAGTCTTTCACCAAACCTACCTATGACATCATAAACTGTAAAACTGTGATTGTCATATGATCAAATCTCCTGATATGAGCTGTCAGACATTTGCACCACATCTGTAAAATGTACATTTACATTTACAGTATCAAGATCAAAAACACTTGCAATGTGCAGTAATAAACATTAAAACATATTCTTATATCTGCTCAGTAGTTTTTTAATTAAATCTTAAATCTCTTTTTGAATTGATTTTGAAAATATTCCTAAATAATATTTGCTCAGTGGCATAAGACGTTTCACAGCCCACATTGCATATGAAAGATTAATTTATAAAAAGGGTTAGAAAAATTAGAAATACATTGTTTTAATCACTTGCTCTATCCTGTTTAACTGAGTGTTGCAGACATTTTAAATGATCTTCTCACCCCTGTCAGTGCCTCCATCTCCACTCTCCGCCTGAGTTACAGCTGACAGCAGCAGCAGCAGCCACACGGTGATCCAGCAGCCAGACGGCATCTCCTCATCGAATCACCTCGCAGCTGCACAGACAAACTGACTCGTTCCTCAGCAGACTCATAACGCTGCATTCTCACCAGCTGAGAGCTTTTCTTGTCAGCCGGCAGGGAGAGGGGAAGAAGGAGTGGCGAGTTTACAGAGAAAGGGGGAGGGGGGTTGCTTACAGGATGTTCTGTAAATCAGAAAACATCTCTTTGTTCAGCAGACAGCAGATTCTGTGCAGTAAGAAGATGAATTATTGGACAGTTAGTTCTGAATACAGAAAAGATAAAAGGCCTCCCATTTGTCCATCAGTCTGACATCATTCAGTCACAGTTCTACTGCACTTTGTTATTGACCTCCATTAAAGTTCAAATTACCCAAACATGAGAAATGTATATTTTATATTTTGGGTTTCAGGATGACTAATGACAGCTCCGTCTATCTCTAATCCATCAGAATATACAGAGCCATACACACACACACACACACACACCATTCAAATGAAATAGACATTAACACCATTCTCAGCTGAAACAAACTTTGCCCCAGGGTTTGTGTCTTTTGAAACCAAAAGTGAATGTTGATCTATTGGCAGAAATGTAATGTAATATTGAGGTATGGTTATGTACATAACCCACAAATATTTTCCTAAACCTATCTAGCGACTGAAAAGCACCAGCACTTCTCATTTTTTGACCACACAAGACTTTTTATTGCATACAACACCTCCTGGTACATATTCTTAAACACCTGCACAACGCTTGACTTTTCCTGCGAAGTCCCACCCTACTGTGCATCTGATTGGCTTGTGTTTGTTTTGGTTGGTTAGGTTTTAAGCATAAGGAGTGAAATGGTCACGGTTTGTGGCAGCAGAGTGGGCCAATATACGCAAAAAATAATGTCAGCGTAACTGCATCTTAAAACTGAGTAAACAGTGCTGAAAATTGATTCGAAAAACAGCAAAAGAATTAGGGTTATCTCGTGGTTAAAGCTGTGCTGAATCAGGCTACTGGCAGATTTTGTTTCCAACTCAGGCACTGAACCTAAACAAGTAGTTTTGGTGCCTAAACCTAACCACACTGTGACAACAGTTGACAGGAAGATATAATAATGAATCATCTGTGTAAAAAAGAAACATGTGTCTACAAATGATGTGACCAAAGGGAAGCAGTCAGATGAAGAGAAGAAGAAGAGCAGGGCCCAGAACTGAGCCCCGAGGAATGAGGAGCAGCTGCAGATAGCCATTAGTTTACAGATGAGTCTTCTACCAGTAGATCCCTAAATGTTACGCACTGGACCTTTAAAAGTGACGTTCTTTTTACACGCCATGAGATCACATTACCCTGCTACACAAGAGCCACATTGGACTGAGACTGTATCTGTGGGGGGAAAGGGAATTACTGGGCACAGATTGTTGGCAGATCACACTGCCATTGTTCTGGCAGGACAGAGTAGACATCTTGAACAACTCAAAACCGCTGAATGCCACAAACAGTGGGTTCAGCCAAAGGGACACTGGCATCCTGTTGTCAATGCTGGAGTCCAGATATGCAGTGAAGAGTCAGATGATGGTGTGTGTCAGCATTAAACTGTTGGTGTGCCTGCATACAAAAACAGATATCTAATATGTTATGGAAGGATGTTAGCCAGTATGTTATCTGCTTGAAACTTCCCATTCAGTATGAGGGGGTGCTGTTTTTGCTATAAGTGTATAAGCACTGACTATTAGTTTTTTGCTTCTCACCTAAGACAGTTGGGACTGTTGGTATGTCCTCCTGCAGGCGTTCAGAGAGATGTCTTTTCTCTTGTGTCTTTATTACCAGCTCAGAATCAGAAGTACGTTTTCACATCCTTGAGCAAGATACAGAACCCCAAATTGCTAGCATCGGTGTGTGAATGTGTATGAATGAGTTAGTTTCTGTTCGATGGACTTTGCCGTGTGTGAAAGGGTGAATGTGGCACGTTAGTTGTAAAGCGCTTTTTGAGTGGTCGGAAGGCGTAATACAAAAGTTACCAGTCCATTACCCATTTACCATTTACCTTGGTATATTGGTGCATAGCAATAAACATAGTATGAGAAAAATATAACTAACTAACTTTAAATGAAGAGCTGTACAGCTTGTTCACAGTTTGAAGTATGAAGGATATTTGTAATGTGCAAGATATACTGTTAATACACAGATTCAGGTGAGTACTTTACTGCGTGGGTGGTGGGTGTAACCCCCATATTCCTCCCCATATTCCACCGGGCAGAGCTGATCGCTCCTGTTCTGGCTTGTGATTCCACAAGAAGCGTCTCTGAATAGGCAGCTGGTCTGTTGCAGCTATCCTGGCCCAGTATTTCTTGGATTGAAACCAAATTTTGTGGAGTTGCCTACCTCTAATGTGAAACCCTTTCTAAGTACTTTAATGTGGAAATTGTACTTTTACATATCAGACGCACATTATTGTCCCATGCAGACTATTTCTATATATGTCTGAATACATTCTCTATCAGTATGCCTACAGCAGCTGTCAACGCTAACTGTTTATCTTTTACAGACTTCTTTATTCAGAATCTCCTTCCATGTTTATGAGCGAGAACGAAGCTGCAGCTCTGAGTCAAACTGAGTCTTCCTCTCTGTCAAACAGCAACCATGAAGCAGAAAATCTAATCAGTAACCTACAACCACTTCCTGCCTACTCAAGTGATCTGGTTTGTTTTCAAATGAGGCCAAATCACATGTGTCTTAGTTTACTACGAGCTCCAAATTGGAGCTCTCGGCCTCAGGTGACCCTAAACCGTCTGTCACCTGTCTATCATTATTACCTGACACAATCACTTAGACCTTTTCTAGATCACCTCAGCTGCAGCTTTAGATTGCCTCCTTCTAATCTCCTGGAGGTTTTTGGTTTCATTTTTAATTCTGATGAATAGTGTCTCTGTGTTTGTTGGATGGAGGGCCTCAAGTGTCCCGCTCCTCATTGTGTTTTTCTTCCTCTTTTACTCCCATCAGCTGCTCTGCAGTCTCTACACACGTGCACATTGTTTCTCAGGTGCCTCAGGGTGGTTAGCACCGTTTCCTACTCTCAGTGCTTCATGTTAGTTTCGAGGGCACAGGAATATATGTTTTATGTTGAGAACTAGGGCATGCTGGGAAATCTCAACCTGACCTGATGCCTCTTTGTCCCAGCAGACAGTGTGAGAGACACAGCAGGACCTACGGGAACTGTTAGAGGGGGAAAGGGTTGACGTTTGGACTGAAAACTAAAAATCTGACTCAGATATCTTTTTAATACGGTGGCCGACCAGGGCAAACACGCTGCAAACGGCAAAACGCTGCTTTCCACCTCACAAAACGAAGTGCGCCCAGGCCAGTAGGGGGACCGACCTGAGGGGATGGACCAAGTCCCTGTGTGGACCAGACCTTGAAAAGCTGCCTCTTCTTATATTATTATAAAATATTTACGGCCAAGGTTTAAAAAAGACATAAAGGAAAACGCTACCTTTTTACTCTCTTCTCCAAAACTTAACCAACTTCTTCTTCTTCTTCTTCTTCCTTCTTCTTCTCTTCTTCCTTCTTCTTTCATGTCTTTCGGTTCTGGGCCCACAGCGTTTTTCTCTCAGAGTTTTTTGTTGTTTTGTGTGTTTTGGTATTTGCAGGCATTTTTTCTTTTGGCGTTTGTTTTTGTGGTTTGTAATTTTGCTTCTGCTTCCATTTCTGTGGATTGCAGCATTTTCTGGTTGCTGCTTTTTCTGTTGCGATTGTTTATGTGTTTTTTGGTTTGCATCAATCTCCTGTGTTT